CAGGAATTCTGGCTTCAATGACAACTTGGAGATGGTGGAGACCTCCATCAGCAGATCAATAAAATAGTGAGTGTTGATAAACATGTTTTAAAATTCTATGTGTTTCAAAAGCACTCCAAAGCTTAGCAGGAGAACTCACAAAAATCTTCAGTGTTTTCATATGCTGTGTGAACTTCCATTTTCTTTTTTTTTTTTTTTAAGACAACTTCACTAAAACAAATCCATAACATTCTTCCTCTGTAGCTGAAGCTTTACAAAGTCATCTGCATTAATTATCATAGTAACCAGAGATGTGTTGCCACAGCCAATCTTAACTAGAAATTTAATCCAATCCCTTCCACAAACGTTTGTCAGAGATGGGGAGGAAAACTGGTCCATTACACACAGCACAAGGCAGAGGAGCTGAACGCAGGCAGCTTCACACATTCTGACACTGCAGCAGCTGTTTAGTTGTTAAATCTGACAGGACATCGTCTGTAACCAGAGGAGTAATGCAGACTATTTTGTTCATCCAGTAATCTTATGAAATACTGGTGTACTTCTGAAATTGAAGGTACCCCACGAGTTAATATTCCTAATATTCAAGTTGGGGGTATTTTTTTTGTTTGCTAACCATTTTCATTAAAGCCTTGGGTTTGCGCAATGACATGAGGGGGTATTAGTAAAAGTGAGAATTTAACTTTCCCTTATAACACTGAGCTTTAAGTTTACTATAAACACAGACAGGAGTCCAGGCCTTGCAAGTAACTCCCTAATGAAACCAGAACGCTCACGCAGAGGGACTGCAAAGAGAGCTCCAGTTGGAAATTTCCACTGGGTTATGGCAGTGGAAACTAAATGGATTTTTAGATCCTTGTCTGCTCCTCTTCACCACTGTGTTTATGCATTTGCCCACACCACTGAAAAGGAGGAGGATCAAGGATTTTTTTTTTCCCCCCTCCCTTCATAAGGTATAATTTTCTAGCCTATACAGGCTGAGTCAGCGTGTTTTAACAATACGGAGGGATAAGTTTCTGTTCAGTCTACTGAAGAAAGTGAACTTATGGTAAAGCATGACTAACCTTTATTGTTGCTTGTAGCTCATTTGCCTGCCAGGTTTGCCTTGGAACTGATTATCTTTGTGTGTCCCCATTGGCACAGAATTAGAAGAAGCGTAAAGAAAATTGCCAGCCTGACTAAACATTATGGTTTTCTTATAAGAAGATGACTTCATTTAGGTGCCTACTAAGCAGTTATTAACAAGATACCCAACACTGATTAGCCTACAACAGCTTAATAACTAAGCTGAACTTCAGCTTTAGGACACCAAAAAGGTGCATCACTACTGTAAGCAGAAATGTAGCCTTTAAAACTTTTAAGAATTATTTGTTTGATGAATTCATTCCTAGATTGGCTTAATGCTGTGGTCTCTGGAAGCCCTGTGTTAGAACTATTTCATCACAGAACAATTGCAGGTGTTTAGGTGAAGCTTACACCGCACTTCCTTTTGAATAGGTCCTACACCATTACTGTTAAAACAGCTTTATGTCTCCTGGTCCTGAAATCCCTTCAGAAACATGCTAATGCTCCTTCTGTGCACTCCACAAGCAGTGCTAGCAAATTATTAGATAGACAGTTCTTTCCCCAAGCAGTGCTAGCAAATTATTAGATAGACAGTTCTTTCCCCAAGCATGCCGTGCTCCAGGTCTTACTGACCCAAGAATCAAAAGCTACTAGGGCTGAAACTCTGCTTTTCTTCCTGCACAG